CGGCCGCCGCTGGGGGCCCTGCACCCTCTTCAGCCGCCCCCGGGAGCGCTGCAGCTTCATTGGCCGCCTCCGGGGGCACTGCAACCTCTTCGGCCACCACCGGGAGCGCTGCAGCTTCATCCGCCGCCTCTGGGGGCGCTGCAGCTTCGTCGGTCACCTTCGGGGGCGCTGCAGCCTCTTTGGCCACCTCTAGGGGTGGCGAGGCGGACCCATTCTTCCTCTTCCCTATCCTCCGTTTCCGAGAGGGTGGCACTGCAGCTTCATCTGCCGCTTCCGGGGGCGCTGCAACCTCTTCGGCCACCACCGGGAGCGCTGCAGCTTCGTCGGTCACCTTCGGGGGCGCTGCAGCCTCTTTGGCCACCTCTAGGGGTGGCGAGGCGGACCCATTCTTCCTCTTCCCTATCCTCCGTTTCCGAGAGGGTGGCACTGCAGCTTCATCTGCCGCTTCCGGGGGCGCTGCAACTTCTTCGGCCACCACCGGGAGCGCTGCAGCTTCGTCGGCCACCTTCGGGGGCACTGCAGCCTGGTCGGCCATCACGGGAGGCGCTGCAGCCCCCTTAGCTGAAGAACGTGCCACGAACTCCACAAACCTCTCGAAGGATACATAGGTAAGATTGCATACGTTGTTGTATCACAAACAGCACTCATTAAGTATATACAGTTCTGTAAATGGATATGAAGAAGGTTTCAATAAATTTTGTCCATTTTGTGTGAATGCATGTGAAGATCTGCTCTTCCTTTGTTCTTTGGCCACATGGCAAAACTGGTTTCTCCTGTGAATGGAATTTACAGATTTGGAAATGTGAGTAATTGATAAAAAAAAAATTTCTGCCAAATTTATACTTCAAGGTTCTCTGAAACCGGTTTCTTGATATTAATTAGGAAGAAATATCAGTGGGTAACATGCTGCACAGAGGAAAGCCACCTTGCCAAAAGGTTATGTTTCTGGTTAATTGTTAAAAAAAACATGGAATGTAATACCCTAAAGTTCACAGACTTCATAAAATGTGATAATGAATTATACAATTGTCTGCAGTTGTTCAGCACTGTTAAACTACACACAGACTTTTGTCACACTGTCACTGGCGCTTCAATTGTTGTCTAGGAAACGGCATTAACGCTAGTCACCGTTGAATTGCCACGCATTTAAATGTCCAGCCGGTTTGTGTAGGAGAGAATGAATTTAGAGGAGCGGATAAGGATGCAAGCCGACAAAAGGAAATTGCCTGAAGTGAAGGGCATAATTTCTCGTCTTCATCAGCAGGCATGAAAAGCAAGGATAGTGTGATTTACAGGGGAAATATTTGATAAGTTGTCATGGAAACTCAGTCTGCTGTCCACTAAAGTTGCATTTTTTCCATGTGAAATATCCCCTCAACACATACATACACACACACACACACACACACACCCACACAGCACTTCCATGTGGCACTTCCCCAACGTGTAAACAGCTCTCCTTCCAGAATGTGCCTCTTTCAAAGCCTGCATAAATGAAGAAGAAAAAAGCCCAGGTGTCTGCACTTGGACCCTTTCTTTCTGCTTTGCTCTCTGTTATTTATTTGCATGCTTGTCAAGCTCTCTGTGTTAAGAGCCTTTTGCAGTGATAATGAGAGCTTGATGGTTGATTGATTGATTTGCCCTTTGTGGTTTTGAGGTAGACTTTTGGACCATTTTCAATTGGTTAATGCATTATTATTCATCATCTAACGAATGACAGTTCAAGTTTCATATCCATATATGTCATTTGATGTAATTTGTGAACTGTTTTCAAGGATGGAAACTCAATGAAAGCTTACATCACCCTTTGGCACTACTTATTTTCTATTGTTATTAAGTTGTAGGAAAGCCATATGTAGGGCAGGGAAGAGCAACTACCTCAAGATACATTTCAGTGAATAATGTACAATGTCACAATTGGATTGCAGTTATTATTACTGCTTAAAACTAATTCGAAAATAAATTTTTAATTACTTTAGTAAAAAGACAAATATAACAAAATGTGCCAATTGAAGAAATATCTAATATTAAAGACCACATTGAGGTTGTGACATGAACCTCAGTCATTTTTTTATTATTATTTCAATTTTATTTTTAATAATTTTAGTACTTCAGCTTAAACTTATTTCAGTTAGTTACCAAGGCAGCACTTTTAATTTTTTTAAGTTTGCTTTTCATCTAATATATATGCATGTTACTACTAGCTGGCAATTTGTCTCACCTGACCGCTTGTGATCAAACTACCAAGATATATTGTAGTGTGAGGTGTTAATGGGGCCTAGCACAATTAAATATCCAATTGGGACGATATTGTGCATTCCTAATTATGATGTATGAATAGATAATTAGCCATATGTCTGTGTGGCCCCTTAATTTAGCTAAGGTTTGTCCAGCACGTTTAGAGTAAACAGGAATAACTTTCCATAAACCTGTATTGAGGACATTATCATAATTTTGTCAAATGTTAGGATAATGTGATATCTAGTGCCAGGTGCCATAAAGATAAATATACCTTGAAAAATAATATTGTTCATAATATTTATTTTTACAAGATATTCCTCCGTGCACGAGCATGCACCTGTAGTAGAGAAAAACCATCAAGACTTTAGGTATTCCATTCATATTCACTTATTTTTATTGAGAATGTACTCAAGCATTTCAAGTACGACTGTCTCTGTTGGAGACCGAAGGAGATCATGCTGCTTGAACTCGAGCCCAATACTTTGAAAAACAGCAGAAAACATTTTCTTAAATGAATTCCCACAGCCTATAAAATAGATTTTGGAAATTCCTTTAAAATGACACTACGGGGGATCAGGAAGCATAAACGGTCAAGGCCGTTTCCATTTTTCATAGCGGAACTAAATGATGGCAGAATATCTAGGCATTTACTTAATGTGTTGCTTCAGGGATGGCAGGAAATGTTGTGTTGATGCATTCAAGAGCGAAACAAAATCTATATGGCACACAACAAGCTTATACTCCTCACGGATTTCTTAGCCTCCATGTGCCCAGTTTGTTTGTGCATGTGTCTGTATTTTGAGCATGTTTGAAAAAAAAAAAAAAAAAAATCAACGTCACTGAAAAGGCCCTTTTGTTAAGTGACTCCAGCCACAGGTAATCTGGTTTATGGTTTCCTAGCAACAATGCCCTTTCAGATCACCTCCAAAACAATCCTGACCGAGCTCTCCTGTCCTCCTCGAATTGAACTACAACACATAGACCACTTTATGATTTAATTTTAATTGCTGAATTGTCTCATTTCATACAACCTGAAATATTGTGTTTGTAATGTAGAAATGTGTTTTGAATTACATGCATGTGTTGCTCATTTCTTGCAACATCTTTATTTGTATGTTTCCCTTCAGGGTAAGATGGTGAAGGGTATGGGAGGAGCTATGGATCTAGTGGCCAGTGCTGGAACTAAAGTGGTTGTTACAATGGAGCACTCTGCTAAGGTAGGTGTAATCATATGAGACTGCGTTATACTGGCTTTCTGTATTGTCTGATTTTGTTAGCAGTGGTTAAATAAACACAAATTTTATATAGAGTAAGTTCAGCATTTCAGATCCAATATGGCCATTTGTTTGTGCTCTGCTAATGAAAACTGAAAGCTGTTCTGGAATATCGTTAACACAGACAGGCAGAGTGACAAACAGTAAAGTGCATGGGGTTGAATAGGGATGGAATGACATTCTGGGACCTTTGAATGAAAAAAGAAAATAAACTGCATTCTATTTTGGTCCATTACACACACAGAAAAAACTTAAATGGATGACAGTATTATGCTTCCCTTTAGTTAATAGTTAGTAACTAAAAGTGACTCATTTCTGTTATATGCACTACTGTTTAAAATGTTTTTTTTTATTGTTTTTTTTTTTTAAAGAAATTAATACTTTTATTCAGCAAGGATGTATTAAATTGATCAGAAGTGACAGTATGTCAGTAAGTAACTATTTTACAAAATATTTCAAATAATTTTACCTCTAATACACCACTATGTCCAACTGTCTTTGGGCGCGCGCATAGCATCCGGTGCGTGAGGTGTGTACGCGCTCTGGCGTAGTTTACGCATGCGCAGGAAGTGATCTCTCGCGTGTATACGTCACTCATTGTTTACACAGTGCACAGTCCTTGTAGGTACGATGGCTAATCAAAATGGTACTTACTTGCGCTTATCCGGATTGTTCAAACCGACTTAAAACTAAAAGATTACGTTCTCTCGCGCGAACTCATTCGGGATTGGTGACTTTCCACGTATTCCCAACTTCTGAGCTTGCTCGCCTGAAGTTATGGTTGATTGCTCTTCGGCTGGATATCAACACACACATTAACGTAAACTACGCCAGAGCGCGTACACACCTCACGCACCGGATGCCGTGCGCGCGCCCAAAGCAGTTGGACATAGTGGTGTATTAGAGGTAAAATATGATATAAATACTGTTCGGTGTCTCGCACAAACCAATCGTTTCAAGTCTTAGGACATCAATGTGTTGACACGAGCCACAGGGTTAAATTTGGATTTGTCTGTGCATGTTTTTTTTTACTCTCATAGATTTTGTTACCATTGCCATGCATTATACGACTGATAGACTGCAACGGCTGGAGTTCAAAATCTCAGTTTGTGTTCTACTGAAGAAACAAAGTCACCTACATCTTGGATGCCCTGGGGGTAAACATCAAATTTTCATTTTTGGGTGAACTATCCGTTTAAAGGTTTCTGAGTTTTAATATTGGTGCATCCCTACAAGAAAAGCATCATGAAAGTATTCTGAAATTGGCTTGTGCATTACATACCAAGAATTTTGAAGCTATATAATAGCTTTCTATGGCTTCAAATATTTGTAATATACTGCATGAGTCACAAGACTACTTTTATGCTGCTTTTGTAGTGTCTTTTTAGTGTCTTTTTGTAATTTGACAGCCACTATGAACTGTCATTTAATGGAAAGAGCTCTGTAAAGACTCTTCAAAAACCTTTGACAGCATACGGGTTTGAAATGACATGAGGGTGCTCTTCACTCTTCCTTGAAACAGTTCTTTAGGTACAGCTTGAGCAGTGTGCGCGGCGCATTTGGAATTTGTCGATCCGACTCACAACATGCTGTAAAAGAAGAATTAAAGGAAAATTCAAATGGAATAGTGCAAAAAAAAATTCTTCAGAAATTGGTCATCGGCATATTATCAGATGCAACACATATTGAGTATTTCTGAAAAAAATGGATGTAATTAATAATGTTTATTTTAATTTATATTATAATTTTATATAGATTGATTTTATATTTAAATATACATGCACTAAATTTGCATTTCTTCAAGCGGGCTGTTGTAATAAAACTAGTGGCAGGCACAGAATAAAAAAAAGAAACATCCATTCAGACATAAATTTGGATGTTTTGCTGTGTCCATCATCAAAATCCCCTATTAAACATAGATGGCACCATTGCTGAATAATCATGTCAGAGTTCAGTGTTCCCATCTGTGAAATGTGCTTAAATTTGTTCCAGGGATGTGAATAGTCTCGATTATGACGGTGGTGACCTAATTCCCTTCACACCACTCAGATCACATTGGTCCAGGCTGAGATGGAGTGAAAGTCAAGTGAGATGGCCATAGAAAGACATGGCTGCTGCTGTTCACATGCTGTCCTTGCTTTGTTCATGCTGGCAGTGGCTGGCCTGAAGGAAGGCTAACAGGGCCAGCTGCCTGCCCCTGGTGGGATGAACTCTCTGGACATGACTAGAATTAACCACCATCAGCTATCTAATTATTATCCCCTGATCCAACAGCACATGGAATCAGCAGGGCCAGTGTATCCATTACGCCTGATGTTCGAGTGTTTTCTGTTCCCAAGGGCTGAGTGGATGACGGGGGTTGTGCACCATTCAGCATTTAAATGAAAGCGCCTTTTTTAACTTGTAATTCCTCAATTTAAATAGACCACGCATAATTAAAATTTAAATTCAATTTTAATAAGTAGAATTTAAAATGGAATGTAGTGCAAAGAAATTCATGTTTTATATATATATATATATATATATAAGTATAGAATATTACATTGTTTATAATATTATTGTATTATGTTATTTTATCGAAGAACACTTTGCAGAACGCTCTAATGTAACGAATATTCACTTCATGAATACATTTCATATTCATTTATTATGTTTTATTTATAATTTACAGAAGTATATTTAATCAAAAATTATTCTGCGTATAAGAGGATAAATAGATACAAGTACTCACAATTAATGATGCAATTACTTATTATTTGTTGCAAAACTTAATAAATAATTACTTATTTGTTAGACTAACGCAGTTCTTCTGTTTTGTGACAGTGTTATTGGTCTTGGCAATTCAGATTTAAATTAATGAATTTAATTGAAATTAGTTACTGAATTGTCCAGCCCTCAGACAGTCCTCAGTAATCTGTATTAATATATATTATAATTCTAATATAATATATATTAATACTAATATGGGTCAAAATCCTTTTTTTTTTTATTGATTGTTTTCTTGTGCTAGATATTAAATATTCTACATTATATTTTATAGTCTTTGTATTGTTACGTATTTCCTAGGGTGGCAAACACAAGATTCTGGAGAAGTGCAATCTGCCTCTGACTGGAAAACAATGTGTGGACCGTATAATCACAGAAAAGGTGGGTTTTGATTTACATGAGTCATTGATTTTACCCTTTTAACATTAGGAGACTGCTTTAATCAACAGCCCACACCGTGTCTAACCAGACTCTGCTGGTAAAGAATAAATGTCATCTATTCAGCAGCTTATCACTTCATCAATATACCGAATCAGCCTCCGATAAAACTTCAGTCGCCACAGTGAAAAGCTGTGAAAATGGCTTTGCTCTTTTCTCTTAACGCATGTGCAAAGACATAAGGGGACATGACAAATTGTTATGACACTGCACATAAGCAGTGGAAAATGGAAATCCAATTATTGGGCCAACCCTAATCAAATCTCCTGATCGGAGTGACATTACATATCGACTGTTTTTTCAAACCCAGAGCTCCTTAATGTGAATGTTACCTAATAATATTATCAGCCCTGCCACACGGCCTGGGTTCGGAGACCTGGGGATCCCAGCTGGGTGGTGGAGACAAAGAGCCTTACTAGATGGTTCAGGGGCTCTTGACTGATGCAGCTGTTCATAGCTGCTGGTTTTTATGGACTGCTGCTGGCACTTGTTGAGCCGACCTCTCATCTCGCTAGTGGTATCACTGGACTGTATAACAGCAGTCTTCCTCCTCTCCTTACCTTTTAGTCTTCTCTTTCTCCCCACTTCCTCGTTGTATGCTTTGCCCGTGTTTGCTTTTGTAACAATTACACACCGTGGTTTCCAATGAAAGGATTCTGTCAACATTGGAAAGGTTAGACCGCCCCAGCTACCTTGCCACCACCTTCTGTTCAGCCTGTGTTTGTCATGCTACCCTGCTGTTTAACACAACCCCTGTCTGTCAGCCTAACAAGCTGAGCTTTAGCTTTGCTTGTAAGAAGAGCCTTTCGGCTATTTAACCCTCATGTTCTTCAAGCCCCCAAGGCCATTTGAATAGCTCAAGAAACATGTTTAGCATATTTTTTTCAAGGATTTTTTGATGAATGGAAGGTTTAAAAGAACAGCATTTATTTGAAATAGAAATCTTTTTAACATTAGAAGTGTTTTAATAAATTGAATGTGTCCTTGCTGAATAAAAGTTTTAATTTCGTTACAAAAAAAACCAAGACTTTTGAACAATAATGTACATTTTTCTGCACTGTGATATCATATCTGTTAATAATGCATGTTTTGTTTATAATACAATGACTTGAAATACTAAAAATGTTTTAATATATGTAGAAATTATCATTAACCAAGATTAATAAATGGTGTAAAAGTATTTTTCATTGTTAGTTTGTGATTCCTAATGTGTTAAGTAATGTTAACTAATCGAACCTTAATGTAAAGTGTTACTAAAGTTTCAGTAATATCTTCCTACAAATGTTTTAATTAGGTAACGTGAGCATTTAAAAGAATTTGAAAGGAAAATAAGAAGTTAATTTTGAAATTACTAGTATTATTTTTTGTCACATCACTAACACCAAACATATAGACAACATAAAGACAATCACTCAAAAAACAAACAGCTTTAACCAGCTAAGGTTAAAGCTGCTTATGTGAACCTCTAACAAAAATATTTATAAGGAGCAACTGTTAGAGCCAGTGAATGAAACTTCAAGGGGTCATGAACTGAGAAATCAAAATTCCCTTTATCTTTTGACATATAAGAGGTCATTGTACTATAAAAACATCCTGTAAGTTTCAGAAATCAAAACTTTCTCGTTAGTCTAATAAAAACTGCTTATATTGAAGCCAGTCTGCCAAAATGACAGGTTGTGGAATGTGCCACTTTATGATGTAGTAGTGTGGCTAAACCCCACCTCCACAGAAGAAGATCAACGCCTGCTTCTACATCACTGCCTGTTTAGCCCCGCCCACCGATTCGCACATGTAGTGTAAATAACGAGAGGCAAACGTTGCTCTACACAGAAACCAAACAATAAAGATGCTCTGAAGACAACAAGACGCTGTACAGTGCTGCGTCAGTAAGAACTTGGTCCTTTGTTCACTTCATTTTACAGCGGATTCCTTTACAAACAAGGCACAATTCGACACAAGATTTTCAGAAAGACTGAAATTAAAAGACGATGCTGTGCCGACTTTATTGGATCCGACCGTAATGTCGCACCACACAAGTGTGAGTAACTGCTTTTATTATGTGGTCACTCTTGCTTTGTCTGTTATTACAGACCATTTGATATGCACTGAGTATAGATGCGTGAAAAACTGTTAGCCAATCTTATCAGTGGGCGTTTACTTCCGAGTCTACAATCCGCCACGCCTATTCAAACAGAGCGTTCCGATGAGGGGTCAAAATGGGACAGACAATAGCCTATTACTTCTAAAAAAAAAAAAAAAAAAAAATTAATACCAACATATTTAAAGGGATAGTTCACTCAAAAATGAAAATGTTATGTTTATCTGCTTACCCCCAGGGCATCCAAGATGTAGGTGA